AAAGTTGCATCATGTATTAGTGAATTAAACAGAAGCTTATAGAAATCATACAGAAATTCAGCAAGTAGTTAAATTATTTAAGACCTTCGTTAGCTGACGGCTACTGAAATCTGAAGTCTAAGCTGGCCATACATATCAGACAAGTGCCAGAAACAAGGAGGTAGCCCAACCAATAAATGATGTCTTGGCTGCCTGACAGACATCATAACCATAAGCATGCATGTCTGCGCTGATCAGGCATCCCAAGCTCTTCTCTTATCTCAGTCAGCCAGAAAACCAAAGCTGGCAAACAGAATTCCCCCCTCACCAAGATCAGTGTGCTGAAAGAGCCTGTTGCAGTTTGAAGCTAATCATTGGAATCAGAGTTGTTGCCCAGTCCTGCCAAAATCGTCTGGCTTGGGTGACGTTATAATCTAATATTGTGTCTGTGTGTACTTGGATCATGCCTAATCAGGGTAACTACTTGAGACAATGGCGTTCTAACTTGGAGTAAGAAAGGTCAGGTCTTATTACAATCTGACATCATCTACAGAAGAGTGAGCCAACATACACAGATTTAACTATGATATGCACTCAGCCAATTCACAGGGAACACATTTACAGGAGTGTAAGGCCATCTGGTGGAACCAATCCTCTGATTATTATTTTTTTGCTTTAAACTTTTTTTTTTTAACAAAAAATGAACTTGGCTTTTCTCTCTCTCCACAGATACTGGCTTGGAACACCAGTTGTACTGTTTGTCTTTCTGCTATATAAATAAAAGCCTGCATGCTCATCAGCATCCAATGGTACTCTAAGAGGAATAGTCAAAAAAACTAGTGTAGCCCACAAAACCAATACGCCATATTGGTTTCTATAGAGTGGGAGTTATGGGGGGCGTATAAAACTCATTCTCCATAACATTGTACAATGTAACCTGCTCCTGTGGTGGTTGCTAAATTAGCTTCCTCAATAAACTGATAAAATGCTTATTTGGAGCCTTTAAGGAAGAACTCCGGGCAGAAATTTAATTAACTCTTGCAGTGGGGCTACCCCCACACTGCAAGGGTTAACTGCTCGTTTTTGCATAAGGTAAAAAAAAAAGTTATACTCAACTGATCCTCGGAGCGCTCCCTCCAGCCTCTCATCTCCTCTGTTACAGCGATGGTATGTCCCTCCGCGTCCTCACATCCTATACATTGTATTGGATGTAATGACTCGAGGATTCCTAGACCGCTGCAGCAGAGGGGGAGACAAACTCCAGGAACTGGTCTAAGAGAGTCCAGCTCGGAGGATCGGATAAGTATAACTTTTTAACCCTAGGCAAAAATGAGCATTTAACCCTTGCAGTGCAGGGGTAGCCCCACTTCAAGGGTTAAACATTCTGCCCAGAGTTCGTGTGTAAAAAAAAATCCTGCTCAGCCCCTACTTAGCATGGCAGGGCAGGGAGAAGCCAGTGTTTTGAAGTGGGAAGGCCAGCTCATTTTTGTGTTGGTTCTCTTCTCTTGAAACATCTGCAAAATTCTGATTTGGGGACAACACTCTGACTATGGCTCTGACTATGTCGATGGGAGCTATGTTACCTTGCTGACTTGTTCTTTTCCAACAGGTTTGAAGAAGCAGAATTATTGGCAGAGCAGATTTTTAAAAATGCGCTAATTTGTGATTGTTGCTCCATTTCTATGTTGCTCAATGTGTTAGTCAAGCTGTGAAAAGCCGTAACGTATATTACTTGAACAACATGAAGTAATCCACATCCACAAGATAACAGTTTCTGTTGTCTCATTCATCTTTAGTTTCTTCTCCTCAATGTCTTCAAACAACTTCAGATGAGAACTACAGAATATGTTCATGGTGTAGAGAATGTGATATTACTTTTACACATTATACCTGTGGAGAGCTGACATGTGCACACAGCAATGGTCATTTAATGAATCTCTCACCAGCAAACAGTTTAGCTGTGACGTGCTCAGCACATCTCTCACTCAAGATCCTTTTGTTCCTTGGCTTATTAATATCAGACTCCGAGAAAGAGCAGGGGGAAATTCAGAGACTTTCACTGCAAGATGCAGGACAGCTGTGACTTTAAAGATGGAACACCAATGACAGTGCGATAACGAGACCAAAGGGAGTTTATATCTGGTTCCAAGTAATAAAAACAAGTGATATGAAATTACAGATTGGAAAATAAATGATTACATTTTATGGTTCAGTACAGAAAATCTGCTGAGGGACATTTATACCACACATTCACTAATACAATATACCCAAATTGTTCTCCATCTTTACATAAACCCAAAAGACCCAACGCCAAAACACAAGATGAACACCATTGTGTATGCAGTCCAGTGCACTCAGGAGTGCTCAGCATTGTATGTTGGTGAAACAAAACAGCAGCTACACCAGCGTATGGCACAGCATGGAAGAGCCAAACCCTCTGGTCAGGATTCGGCAGTATACCTACATCTAAAGGAAAAAGGTCACTCCTTTGAAGACAGTCAAGTACGCATCCTAGACAGGGAGGAGGACTGGTTTAAAAGAGGTGTAAAAGAGGCTATTTATGTAAAAATAGAAGCTTGAATGGAGGGGGGGGGGACATCTATTGTCTGCCACATACAACGCTGTTTTAACACCTCAGTAACAAGGGCAGGTTAGTAACACCTCCTATCTACAATTATGCAGATGCAATCAACGCCTGGTTGTGACTAACAGATTATGTGGATTGGAGCAACATTCACCATATTTATTCCCAGAGAATGTGTGTACAATTCCTTCTGAATTGAGAAAGCTGGTTGGATGGCCAGTGAAACATCTTCAAGAAAAATAATAGTTGCCTTGACTTATGTTTTACATATATACCATGACCTGGATGAATGAGAACCTTCATAGACATTTTGTCCTATCAGTTCTGAGATCCAGACAACGCAATACAGATTGGTCACCAACATGCCCCCAATATATGACTGGACAATGAAAAAAAAAAAACAGACCAATGTAGTCATGCCTTTGCTCATGCCTTCTGTTGACCTGTGCATGCAGCACATCTGATTGTACCTTTCTGCTATAGCCTGCTCTATCTCAGTGTGAGTTTTACTGTACAGAAGCTCATATCAAAAACAAAAATAAGTACTTACATTACTTTAATTTGCTTGGAATTGTTCTCTATTCTTGCAGTGATAACATGAAAGGCAGTAAGTCTAACGCCAGCTTTTTTAACGATTCACCTTAAATGGCACATTTAAACATGAGCAACTGGGGGTCTCCTTGGAAAATGTTAGTTGCAAGTCTTCAATACTTTCTAAGCCACTGAACCAGGAGAAGTATGGGATTTGGAAAATCAGAGATAGTCAGAAACCCTAATCTGCATACTGCAGGTTAGAGATTCAAGGTATGCAAGAAAGGGATCGGTCAGAGGACAGCATGACAACTTTAGAAGTAGAATAGATTTTCTTTAAAAGGACTCATAAAGCAAAATACCTGTATGTTTTGGCATTTTTGGAAGAAGCAATTCTCAATTGCTAACAGTTCTAAGAAAGTGCTTCATAAGAATGTGCGGGGGGCTTTATTGGGACCCAGTTTCTTGCTCACGGTGAAGAAGAACGAATTGCAGCCCCTGAGTGGAATCAAATGGACAATGATCCACTTTGGGTGACTATGCCCTATGCTTTTTGTCACCGAACATGTACGTGAACAGTCTCTTTGCAACTCGGGCCCCTCCTGGCAAGACGATAGTGGAACAGCAGTAACACTCTGGAATGGCAGGTTTCCTGAACAGCGCACACTGGAACAGACTCTGCAGCAGTAACACAGTTCAGAAATACATGGCCTTGGAGCTGTTCAGCACATTCAGCCCAGCATAGCAGCCATGGGGGTCCAGCAGCTCTCTTGCAACACAGAACTTTACTCTACTCTCCTCAATATCTATAATAATGGCAACTCAAAGTTTGGCAGTTGCCCTCTTTCATTCTCAGTGATATTGTTGATCAGGTTAAGTAGAGTATTTCCTTAACTGGGACACAGCAATAAAAACCACACACAGGTTCTAACCCCTCACCATTCTGTCCATAACTAAAAAAAAAATTTTTTTTTCTACTTTAAAGAAAACCTGTCCTGAGAGAAGGGTACCAATGCTGACTTTCTGAAGCACTATGCAAATCAGGAATGTCAGAGTGAAATCAGAACTCTTAATCTGCATACCTGCTCCGTGCCTTAGAAAGTATTGAAGACATCGGATTAGTATGAGAGCTAGGGGATTTGTGTTTTTAGGAGAGGACAGAAATAGTATTCTCCATATTTCTTCACCACAGGTTTACATTAAATATGTAATATACATTTATTAGCATATATTATGAAATATTAAAGGGGAGTTCTGGTGGGTGATGTCACCCAGTGGCTTATTTTGCTTATAGGAATTCCATAGATGAGGTTTCTCTGTCATTGCTTATGTTTCTATCGCCCTCACCACAAAGCTTATGGTGGTGCATGACTGGGAACTCAGGTTCATATATCTCACCACTGGGTCCATGAGGGTTGTGATATGATCTACATCCCAACATCTACAAAGGACTGAAAGATAGGAGTAGGGTTTCCTGACTCTTTAATTTAGTCATGTGCCTAAAAAAGAATGTTTAACTTTTTTTGCCCTCTGCTCCCTTGCGTCCCTAAACTACTAATTTCAGCGTAAGGTTTTCATATGGAGCTGATGTTACTGCTAGATCTTCCATCTCTTTTATCTTACTGTTTAATTGTGTTTGCACTGCCCACAGTCTTCCAGAAGATGGCAGCACAATACTCAGTGACTTAACAGTATATGATACTTGGGCAGTTCGGCTGTCATTTCCCAAAATCAAATCTCAATGAAACTATTTGTGGTGAACAGAATTGAGAATGATGGGGAACATGAGAACTTATACTTTAGAGTTTGTATCACTTACCCTTATGTCTGTGTTCTTATTTCCCCAAAGAGTGAATTTTGCTTTAATGTTGGGGGAAATGTGATGTCAGGTACCAGTCCGCGGGAGATGCCGAGCCCCGCTCCGAGTCCCTGTGCGGGGATGCACACGGAGAGGGCGTCCACCGGCACGTCCCGGCCTCGCAGGCGCAGACGCCAGAAGGCCCGGCAGGTCACGCCCCGCGCGCCGTTACGTTATCACGTTAATACGGCCCGGTGACGTCATCACGCCGGCGCAATGCGCAGTGACGCATCCTCGGCCTATATTAAGCACCGCAGGACGCCCATTCAGTGCTGGGTGATCTTTTAATTGTGTTTGCACTGCCCACAGTCTTCCAGAAGATGGCAGCACAATACTCAGTGACTTAACAGTATATGATACTTGGGCAGTTCGGCTGTCATTTCCCAAAATCAAATCTCAATGAAACTATTTGTGGTGAACAGAATTGAGAATGATGGGGAACATGAGAACTTATACTTTAGAGTTTGTATCACTTACCCTTATGTCTGTGTTCTTATTTCCCCAAAGAGTGAATTTTGCTTTAATGTTGGGGGAAATGTGATGTCAGGTACCAGTCCGCGGGAGATGCCGAGCCCCGCTCCGAGTCCCTGTGCGGGGATGCACACGGAGAGGGCGTCCACCGGCACGTCCCGGCCTCGCAGGCGCAGACGCCAGAAGGCCCGGCAGGTCACGCCCCGCGCGCCGTTACGTTATCACGTTAATACGGCCCGGTGACGTCATCACGCCGGCGCAATGCGCAGTGACGCATCCTCGGCCTATATTAAGCACCGCAGGACGCCCATTCAGTGCTGGGTGATCTTCAGCCAGCACTGGAGGTTCCTGCTGTGCTCCTGTCCCTGTTTTACTGGCGATTTGCCCTGCCTTTGCTCCTGTCCCTTTCCCATTGTGATATTGGCTTTACCTGTTATTGACCCGGCTTGTCTCTAGACCTCTCTCTGTTTAACCCCGTGTACCCTGCTGCTCGCTTGTTACTGACCCGGCTTGTCTCTGGACCTCTCTCTGTTTAACCCCATGTACCCTGCTGCTCGCTTGTTACTGACCCGGCTTGTCTCTGGACTCTCTCTCTGTTTAACCCCTTGTACCTTGCTGCCCGCCTGTTATTGACCTGGCTTGTCTCTTACGCTCCCATTGGCTTACCCCTTCAAGCACAAGGGCCAGTGGCGGAATGGAGTTTTGACCTGTGCAGGCTGTAAAATCCATGCATTGGCCCTGGGCCCCTCCGCTGGACATCCGCCTCGCTCTACCATCACTTATCACAGTTCAATTAAAACATTTTCATTATGGTTGTAAGTGGGGCCTCACATTTGAGTTTTGCCTAAGGCCTCACAAACTCTAGAGCCGCCTCTGCGGGGCCCTAATAACCGCCGCTGATTACCAGGATATGTAATATCCCGGTAACCCCTAATATCATTTTTTTATTTTTATTTTTTTTTTTTAACACAATGTACCTAATTTTTTTCCTCTGGGGGGGGCCCTTCTTGGATTCTTGCACCGGGGCCCTGAGGTCGCTAGTTACGCCACTGACAACGGCTATTCTGCCAGGTCACCAACCAAACCTTGTGACCTCAGGATCCGCATCCGGCACCCGTGCACCCCCTGCCTGAACACACTGTTCTCAACCCCAGTGTTCATCAGACGGGGTTGCAAGGGAGGTCCTCCTCGTCACTTCGGGCCCACACCTCAATCCTAACATGTGAACATTAATCATTAAAAAAGGTTATTCACAAACGGGTGAAGAGTTTTGGAGAAGGCAAGAGACGTGAACAGTCTAGGACAACATAGCTGAACTGGAAAGTGAGCTGAATTGGAGAAGGTTTCCAGTTCAGCTATGCTGTCCTGGAATGTTCATTTCTCCTGCCTTCTCCAAACTCTTCACCCTTTTTTTAAATAACCCTTTAAGTTTTTGAAAATAAAAAGTAGCTGAATGGTTTAAATCGCCTCAGATTTACCACATGCATATCAAACATAAGTCTATGCCATGAAAGACCATAAGATAACATGTGGTATGTGTCCAGAATACTGAGGGGCTGCAAGAAAGAGAGCCATACACTGTAAGCTGGCTCAAACACTACTGGCCTTTGTTATGCAGTCATGTAAAAAAGTAAGTACACCCCATGGGCATTGTTGATTTTGTTAACATATTTTAACAGGCAAGCATAAGACCTTCATTCAAACAGTACCTACAGATAAAGGTTGATATACTTGATTAAATTACATAAAAATGTGCATGGTGTGTTTACTGTAATAATCTAAATGAAGGCAAATGCAGATTTGCCAGTTGAAAAAAGTAAGTACACCACTACATAAACCAACAGTTGAAAAGCATGGAATTAGAATCAGCTTTTCCAGATTAGGTGCCAATAATTAGAACCTCCTTGGGATGTGTGCAGATTGAACTTGTCCTATTTAAACCTCGGATATCAAGAGTCCTGTGTTCTCTTTTATATTGATGTGTGTGCGGTGATCATGTCAATATTAAACAGCTGTCTAAGGCCCTCATAATTTTTTTTTTAATGCCTAGTGAGGGATTTAAAAAGATCACCAAAATATTTAAAATCAATTATTTCACTGTAAGGAAGACAATCTAAATGTGGCATAGATTTCAAATGACGGCTACTTTGTCCAGAAATGGCTGACCCAGCAAATTCAGCCTAATATCTTACCAACCAATGCTAAAAGACGTCTTCAAGAATTTCTAAATTTAATTGAGGGATCTGCAGGTAACTCTTGCAACAGTTGGTGCATGCATCTACAATCAGAAAAAGATTGCATCAATTAAACGTGCTTGAAAGCCGTACCAGGGAAAACCCATTGCTGTCCAAAAAGAACATTAGAGCAAGACTACAGTTGGCCATTAGACATAAAAGCAAAGACCAGGCCTTCTAGAACAATGTGCTGTGAACTGATACATCACAGGCAGATTGTTTTTGGCCATAGTAACAGCAGACATGTTTGGTGCAAAGGCTGCATTTCAGGAGAAGAACCTCATAACAACTGTGAAATGTTATGGTTTAGAGTTGCATTGCTGCTTCAAAGCAGTTCACAGTAATTGAGTCAATTCTAAATTCTGCATGATATTCACTTCTGATCGGTCATTCACTCGGCTGCCCTCGGCAGCTTTGTGAATAGACCCCAAAGTGTGCTTGAGGAGAATTTGAGGCCATCTGTCCGAAAGTTGAAGTTGAACTTGAAATGGAACTTTCAACGTGATAATGATCCATAGCACATTACCAAATCCACCAAAGAATGGCTTAAAAATAAATGGAAAGTTATGGACTGGCATAGTCAAAGTCCTTATTTGAATCCCACTAAAAAGTTATGGAGGCATTTGAAACAGGCAATCCATGCAAACATCTAACAAATAAAACTATTTTGCATGGAAAAGGAGTCAAAAATGTTTTCACTCAGACAAAGACTGGTGGTCAGTTATGCAAAACGCCTATAAGAAGTAATTTCTGCTAAGGAGGGCAATAACAGCTTCTGAGACCAAGGCTGTATTTATTTTTTCTATAGAACACCATTACATCTATCAATATTTTTGTTAAATAAATGATTGAAAAGGCATTTATCTTGTACTTTTATTTAAGTAGCTCACCTTTATCTTTAGGCACTGTTTAAATTAATATATACAGGGTTATTCACAAAAGGGTGAAGAGTTTAGAGAAGGCAGGAGAAGTGAACATTCTAAAACAACAAACCTACTTTCTTTTTATGAGGAAGTGAGTAACAAATTGGACAGAGGAATAGCTGTGGATATAGTATACTTGGACTTTGCAAAAGTGTTTGACACAGTTCCCCACATGCGGCTAATGTATAAATTAAGGTCTGTAGGTATAGAGTATTCAATCTGTAATTGGATAGAAAACTGGCATAAAGACCATATTCAGAGAGTGGTGATCAATGATTCATACTCTGAATGGTCTGAGGTTGCTAGTGGTGTCCCCCAAGGTTCAGTGTTGGGCCCTTTACTGTTTTACCTATTTATGAATGATATATGCTTTTGGTGCATTTTTTATATTATAAGTGCATACTTCTACTTATTTACGAAAGAAAACAACACAGACTGTTTTATATTGTGATATATTTATTTTTCACATATATGACACATGTTTATTTATTTATTTAATATTTTTTTCACAATAATATTTTTTTCACATATATGACACATGTTCTTTGAAGATTTTTGTTTATTTATTTAATAAGGTTCATGTATGACACACCTTTTATGACACCTGCTGACACATTTTATAACGTACTATAAGTTTTTACACAAATATTTATTATATATACACTGTTTCACGATTGCTTGACACGGAGGTGACACCATATGATCCCTACCGTTATCTAATTTCCTGAAGGGCATTTAGCGCTGTACACTTCATTACACCATTACCCCAGGAGCTAGTTCTAGCTGGCACGGTTAATCGTTTAAAAAAACATCTGGATGTATTCTTAAATGCACAGAATATTACTTGATATTGAGTTCTTATAGATATATTAGGCATCAGAGATTGTTGATCCAGGGAATATCCGATTGCCTTATGGGATCAGGAAGGATTTTTTCCCCCCTGTTGGAGCAAATTGAACCGTGATTTATAGGTTTTTTTTGCCTTCCTCTGGATCAACAGGGGGTAATTGTGGACATAGAGTTCTGTTTAGGCTTTTCTTCTTTTTTTTTTTTTTCTCCGTATCTCTATAGGTTGAACTCGATGGACTTGTGTCTTTTTTCAACCTGACTGACTATGTAACTATGTAACTATAGCTGAACTGGAAAGTGAGCTAAATTGGAGAATTTTTCCAAATCAGCTGTTGTCCTAGATTGTTCACTTCTCCTAACTCTTTAGTGAATAACCCTGATAATGTTTACCTGTTCTGATATGTAAAAAAGGTAAAGTGACATTAAACCCAGGAGTTGAACCTTGCATTCAAGTACCTTAAGGCCTGGTTGACACTGAACGTTTTGCAGTGTCTTTTCTGCTCCAAAAAATGCTCAAAAAATATGCCGTGCACAAAATACCATTCATTTCTATGGCCCTGCTTACATCTGAGCATTGTGTCACAATAAGCATAATGTCTGTCGCTGGAAAAAGTACAGGAGCTTTTTTTTTTGGGCATTTTACAGCTCGTATTGGCCCCATAGACTCAATAGGAAATGCTTGAAAACGCTTGTTTGCTGTGTTTTTGCGCGTTTTATGTTCATTTGCTCATTAACATCACTGAGCCACAATATGATCACAAAAACACATGATTTAATGTATGCGTATAAAACACGCAAAAAACGCACAAAGCATGCATCAAAAACGCGCAAAAACGCTGTCGCCTAGGTGTGAACCCAGCCTTACGATTAGGATGTTAACTGTAAGGATCTACAGCCAAGTGATACACAAGTAAGTTACATTGTTGTTAATAGTAAAAGTATTTTAATACATTTTAATATTTACCCTGTGGCTTTAGTGTCACTTTAACAAGTTCCATGGACAGTACTTACTTTACCACATAGCTATACTTGTGTTGTACATTTGAACTCCCAGATGATATGGCATACGAAGTAAAACAAGAGTAGCAGGGTGTGCATTACAGTTACACAAGTAGAGGTGAGAATTGTTGCTATTTACTTACTTAATACTATTTTTTATTTTTTTTCAATAAGCCTACTACAAGCTCAGACAGAAGGTAAAAGCATTAGTATTGGTAAGCAATCGTTATAGAG